AAACAGGACACTGTTCAGAGGGATGGATCTTGAGAGAGAATCTTTGCTGTTCCCTCCCTAGTCCATATTGTCAGGCATCTGTTTCATTAGTGTGGCTGCGGCATCCAGGACCTAGAACACAAAGTCAAGCCTCAGATCTGAAGCAGTATTGATTTTTGCAACAATAAACAGATGGTTCTGTTTGCTCCCTAACCTTGAACAATTGATGAGACACTATCACTATGCTGCTGATCATGAGAATTACAAGGCAGATAAGGTCAAAGTCCTTTGGGGACAAGCAGAGGAATCAGTAGAGAAACAAGATTATAATGGCCTGGAGAGAATGAGGTACCTGGGCGTAATCAGAGGGTCTGGCCGGCTCACTACACTCAGAGGAAAGGCAAGACGGACATATAACCAGATTGTGGCCGGTACTTTGTGCTGGCTGTTGAAGATGAGGAGGGAGCAAGCATGGGAATGTCCACAGTGCTGTGATGTCAATTCTTGACTCAACTCAACTCAACTCATGAAAATAGGGAAAAAACTAAATCCTTTATGTTCTGCTGATTATAAGTACAAAGTGAAAGCTACTGTGCTGCTGTTCACAAGAATAAAGATAAAAGCTTTTAATCAAAAAAATAAAGAGAATCCTACACCGGTGCTGTACTGCTGATCACAAGAATAAAGCTTTTGATCACAAGATTATAGCGAAACTTAAATTTGCTGTGCCTCTGGTGATTACAAAAATAAGAGAAACCTACACCTGTGCTGTACTGGACACACAGATCTCTAGATTAAAGGATGCACAACTTTGTGCTACCTTTGAAAGACAGACAGTGAAAAAGAAAAACAAATCAAAACAAATACTAGGAGACTAAATAATAATATTATTAATAACAGTGGCAGATAAGGTAAACATACTGTAGAAGAAGATAAATTTATATTCTGTAAATTACTGTTACTAGATCAATTAACACAACAGAGAGGACAAGGGGGAAAACAGTGAGAAAGAATGAGATTGGGGTGTGTGGGGGGTGGGGTGTTGTTGACAGAAGAACAGTCTAAGTATAGGAGTTAAAAGCAAAAATTGGGGGAAAAAACAAACAATGAGAGGGTAAGATAGAGGGACAGAGAGGGTGTGTGGCTGGCAGATGAACAGTACAGGTCTAGGAGAGGTGAGAGAGAGAGGGAGAGAGAGAGAGAGAGAGAGAGAGAGAGAGAGAGAGTGAGAGAGAGTGAGAGAGTGATATATAGAAAGAGAACGAGAAAAGAAGAATAGTTAACCTTGTCCTCCGTAGAATCGCCTGGTACACTGGAGATCAATGGTTGCAGGGAGAGAAGTGTGTCAAACAGGAGTCTGGTGTCCTGGATCTGCGAGGAGATCTCGGCATTGGGATGCTGACCAAACACCTCTATGATGAGTAAACAGATTCTGTCACAACCGATGTAATATATCGGTGTGTGCGTTTGTGCATAGATGTGTGCATTTGTGTGTGTGTGTCTGGTAGTCTGGTAGTCTTTATTTCAACTTCATAGCAAATTAGTCACACCATCTTTGCTACGCTCCTGTGCCAATGAAAAACACACAGAATGTTTATCACATTCCCTTGTGGAAAGATTGACAGACTGCTGTCTCAGCATATCTAGCATACACACGCATTAAAGCATACGGTAGCCATCCAAAGTGATAACACAAACAGTCCAACATTAGAAATGCAGTTCATCATTGATGGTAACAGATCAGCAGTTGTCCCACACGATAAATTTTAATCACATACGGGCACCACCAACATTGTGACAACAGGCATCGCACCATTTTCTGAATCTACAATTCACACCACCATGGTCACAGACAAAAGAACATTTCAAATGAAATCCGCAACTCACAGTGTCATGCCATGCATTAAACTCTAAAGCTGGGCGACGAAACTATATCCAGTCTACAAATGGAGCAAAAATGCATCGGCCACCGTCCGGCAGAAGCAAAAAATTTGTCTCGGCTCCAAACAGTGCCCCTGCCTAGTGTCCATTTTGACCGGTGTGTGTGTGTGTGTGTGTGTGTGTAAGGGAGAAGGAGAAAGAGGATATGTGTATGTGTACTTGAGAGAGCGGGGTAAGAAAAAGGGCATCAGACAGCTGGAGTCCGCTGAGGTATAGGCAGTTAAAAGTAAGAGAAAGTGAGCGAGAGAGAGAGAGAGAGAGCATGAAGGTATACACAGATAAAAAAGAGAAAGAGTTTGGAGATAGAGGCAGTTAAATGTGAGAGAGAGAGAGAGAGAGAGCAAGGAGGCATAAGCAGATGAGAGAGACAGCATTGAGACAGGCAGCTAAGAGAGAGAGAGACAGCATGGAGGCATAGGCAGTTAAAAGAGAGAGAGAGACAGCATGAAGACAGGCAGTTAAGAGAGAGAGACAGCATGGAGACAGGCAGTTAAGAGAGAGAGACAGCATGGAGGCATAGGCAGTTAAGAGAGAGAGAGACAGCATGAAGCTCATTACAATAATTATGGAGACATAGGAAGTTAAAAAAGACATCATGGAGTCACAGACAGTTAAGAGAGAAAGAGAGAAAGAGAGAGAGAGAGAGAGAGAGAGAGAGAGAGAGAGAGAGAGAGAGAGAGAGAGAGAGAGAGAGAGAGCATGGAAGCATAGGCAGTTAAGAGAGAGAGACAACATAGAGACAAATAGTTGGAGAGAGAATCCATGGAGGCTCTGATAGTTGGGAAAGGGGGAGGGGGCAGGAATCACTACTAACAGATAGAGCGAGAATGAGAGACCTAAAACACATGAGCAAAGCCCACCTGGCAGGTCTTGATTAGGCAGCATTGTGACATACTCCTTGTATGAGCCTAGAGGACCATCCTTTGGGATGTAATAGGTGGGGAGACTGGACAACCTGTAACAGGATACAGTCAATGTGAACATGGCAGTCAGTGGCTGAGCTGTGTACTCACCAGCATGGACTGATACAAAACTGAACGCAAAAGTAGGTCAACCAGCTTCACACTATAATACAAACTTAATGTGAACCCTGTGACTGCAGAGCCTTCATCAGCACAAACAGAAATAAAAAAAAAACCCACAGGAATGCGCAAATTACTTAATTGACATATCCCAAAGCAGCCATGTTGATGTCTTGCCAGTGGGACCAGCATGGAACAATCAAACAACGCAACAGCCAGGGATGGCTTAATTTACTCAACATCATCAAATACATCACAATCAATCCTTGTGTGGGTTCCGGAGAATCTTTGTGGAAAATCAAGAATAGACCCACTGCCCTTCTCCCCCTTCCCAACAAGCATGCCATAAAGTCTACTAATTACAGGTGTTTCCTTTGAAATCAGAGTGCATTTGCCAAAGAGGTGAGTAACCAACAGTCTGCACACACAAAATCCAAATCTGTAAAGTGGATGCATATACAAAACTCAAGTTCTGAAACAAGACTAAAGTCCAGAAGTGGATGAACAGCCAGAACATTCAGCTGGTTGACCACATTAAAACTATATCACATAACTAAAAAAATAAACAAACTCATCCCATAAAATGATTTAATTGTTTACCCAACATGAAATCAGTCAACAAATACATCACTATAAGTGATTTAGTTGTTTTTTCAACACGAAAAAACATCCACAAATACATCACAAAAAGGGACTTGGTGATTTACTCAACATGAAACAGTTTAAGAAAAAAATCATTAAACTCTGTGATTTAATTGTTCTCTCAACAGGAAGCAAGCAACAAATACATCACAATGAGGAAGTTAGCTTTTTACTGAAATGAAACAAACCTAATTTGTCCTTTATCAGTATTCTGGGGTGCCTGTGCACATGGGCAAAGTTCTAAGTGTCCAGGTCATAATCTAAACACAATGGTCTATTTCTGTTGTGTGAGGAGAGTGAGTAGGTACTAATAAAACAAAAACAGTGTGTGGATGTCAACCTTCACATGTAAGAACCAACAACACGGGACCTTACACTGTCTGAACTTCAGGTTCCTTCTTATCTCTTTGAGTCCCAGAGAGTTAAGCATCACAAGCTCAAGGGGTAGTTAAAATAGACGTAAAATCAGCACATCATGCGTTCATTGAGCTTCTAGGCAGGAATCTATGAACGTCTGATGCGTTCCTTGGGACTCAAAGAGTTAACCAACGGGAGCCTAAATATGACCTTAGGTTTAACAAGGTTTCTGGCATTTGTTCCTTGGGACTCAAAGAGTTAACCAACGGGAGCCTAAATATGACCTTAGGTTTAACAAGGTTTCTGGCATTTGTTCCTTGGGACTCAAAGAGTTAACCAACGGGAGCCTAAAAATGACCTTAGGTTTAACAAGGTTTCTGGCATTTGTTCCTTGGGACTCAAAGAGTTAACCAACGGGAGCCTAAATATGATCTTAGGTTTAACAAGGTTTCTGGCATTTGTTCCTTGGGACTCAAAGAGTTAACCAACGGGAGCCTAAATATGACCTTAGGTTTAACAAGGTTTCTGGCATTTGTTCCTGGGGACTCAAAGAGTTAACCAACGGGAGCCTAAATATGACCTAAGGTTTAACAAGGTTTCTGGCATTTGTTCCTGGGGACTCAAAGAGTTAACCAACGGGAGCCTAAATATGACCTTAGGTTTAACAAGGTTTCTGGCATTTGTTCCTGGGGACTCAAAGAGTTAACCAACGGGAGCCTAAATATGACCTTAGGTTTAACAAGGTTTCTGGCATTTGTTCCTGGGGACTCAAAGAGTGAACCAACGGGAGCCTAAATATGACCTAAGGTTTAACAAGGTTTCTGGCATTTGTTCCTGGGGACTTAAAGAGTTAACCAACGGGAGCCTAAATATGACCTTAGGTTTAACAAGGTTTCTGGCATTTGTTCCTGGGGACTCAAAGAGTTAACCAACGGGAGCCTAAATATGACCTTAGGTTTAACAAGGTTTCTGGCATTTTTTCCTAGGGACTCAAAGAGTTAACCAACGGGAGCCTAAATATGACCTTAGGTTTAACAAGGTTTCTGGCATTTGTTCCTTGGGACTCAAAGAGTTAACCAACGGGAGCCTAAATATGACCTTAGGTTTAACAAGGTTTCTGGCATTTGTTCCTGGGGACTCAAAGAGTTAACCAACGGGAGCCTAAATATGACCTTAGGTTTAACAAGGTTTCTGGCATTTGTTCCTGGGGGATTCTCAGCTGAGTAGTGACACTGTGGGTTTGGGGTGTTAATCATTCAGTGTGTTGTCCTAGCAGAGTTCAGCATCTCTCACTCACTCAAGACCAACAAATAAATCAACAACACACATCTGTAGTGATGCAATTACACTAACAAACTATAAACAGCACATCAGGCTCAACTTACTTGTAGAAGGGCACTATGAGCACAGACTCACAGAAGTAGTCATTCACGTAGGTCATCAACAGGCGTTTGTCCCAGTCGTCAGTGACGTGTCCACCATAGTTGATGTTGGCAATCAGATACTTCACCGCGTCCCACTGCATGTCCTCACATGTGTCCAGGTAGGACACCAGAATGTGTTCAGAGACCTGCGGCAACAAAGTGACACTTATAGTAAATGATGTAAGACATACTTTTGTAGGCCAAACAGTACATGAGAGCTAATAAACTGAAATGACTGGGGCATATTGAAAGAATGTCAGATAACAGAGAAGTAAAACTGTAAACATGAGGGAGATGAATGTTCGTAGACCATGAGGCAGACCAAGAAGACGATGGAGAGATTATGCCTAGACAGACCTGCAAACACTTGGTGTCACCAATTGGAAAGAGAAGGCCAACCAGAGAGAGATGATAGGAGGCGAGTGATATCTGCAGCAATGAACCTCCAGGGCTCAGAAAGCTGAAGAAGAAGAAGAAGAAGAAGAAAAAGAAACAGTACTTCTTGGGTGAAGTGATCAACATCATGCTGGCCACCTTTACTTCATAGGATATTACCTGCTATCCACTGTAGGGCTGGTCAAACTAGGAGGTACATTCAAACTCACACTTCTGGGCTGGCAGGTGAGCATGAGTAAGGCAGAGCTCACTTAAAATTACAGTAGCTTTCCTTGTAAAAGATGATGGGTTTTATCAAATGTTGTAAGTTTAAAACTGAAGAGAAAGTGAAAGCAAAGCGAGAGTGAAAAGGAGAATGATGTACCTGGGTGTGACCAGAGGGTTCGGTCGGCACACTACGCTCAGAGGAAAGGCAAGACGGACATACAACCAGACTACGACCAGCACCATTAGTATTGGAACTCTGCGCTGGCTGCTGAGAATGGGGACGGAGCACTATGGGAATGCCCGAGTGCTGTGATATAAGTTCTTGACTCAACTCAAATGAAGATTATTTTATATATGGAATGTGATTAAAGTATTTTTTTTTTAATTTTGGGGCTAAAAAATATAGGTTGTCTTATACATAGTGGCGTCTTATACATGGAAAAAATACAGTATGTGTTTACAGCAAATATTGTCTGGAGGCATGTTATAAGATTCAAACTACAAGAAATTTGGTGATAAATGGTAAACTGATGGGAAAAAAGTGAGAAACAGTCAAAGAAATCAATAAAATGGTGGGGTGACCACATGACATAATAGGGACAAGAGAATGACCTCATCTGAGACTGCTGGTTGTGTGAATGAATGAACCAATAGAAAACTGACACCATTGCACTCTAGACATTTCCACTCATGCTCCATCTCTTTCCTCAGTAGCCAACAAAGAGCTGACATGCTTACAGCACCAGTTGCAATCTGGTTTAAAGTCCGTCTACATTTCCCCCTGAGTGTTTAATATTGACCAGAACATACTCCCACACACACACCCCCCCCCCCCCCCCCCCCCCCCCCCCCCAATCACAAACCAAATTAATCTTTGGTGGTTGTGTGAGATGTCATAAGATGACACACTGATAAGAGTGTGTTGTCAGTACTTGACATCTGACATGGTGCTTGTGTGAGATGTCAAATACTATGAACCTAATCATATCATTGCACCATCAAATGACGTTCATTCATTTTAACCCCAGCAGATAATACCAGAACAACAATTAAACTGTTTTTAGTAAACAATAAATATTCTTTTAACTGGCGCCTGCACAAAACAAGACGATAAAAGTAAAGGACCCTACTTACACCAGTGGCATATAGGCCATTTCTGGTTACAAAACCAAAAGCTATGGAAACACATATGTTGAACAAAGGAGACAGTCTGAAGACCAGTTATGAACCAATGTTGATAAAAGGCACAAGGTTAGATGAAATAACACATATAAGAATGTGTGAACAAAGAATCAGGTTTGGATCCAGAAAAGAGGGACACATAAGAGAAAGAGATGATATGAGTATAATCAGTGTGTTATATATGGGTAAGGTGTGATGTCGATTCTTAAATCAGTAAAGTCCAACAGACTCATATGTATTTAGATCAATATGCACCAGTGAGTCTTATCGTCAACATCATGCCGGTCACCTTTACTCCCCAGGACATTACTTGGTGCCCATTTGAGGCTAGGCCAACATGGAAGCCAAGTTCAACTTTGCAGAAATATATGCCTCAATGCAGCCTAAAACCCAAGACCATGGGGTCTAGAGATGAGCATCCAGTCACTATCCTACCACAGACTGCCCTTCGCAAAATAGACAAAATTACCACATTGCTCTGTGCATAAGACAATATGTTTTTCCTAACGTTTTTAAGTTTAAAATTGTGGTTTATCTGCACGTAATGTGTTTAAAATATTTATTTATTAATTGTCTTAAAAAAATTAGAGGTCGTCTTTACACAGAAAAGAAATCCTAATGCAGAATGATTTAAGACAACTAAACTTTTAGTGAATTAAGAGGCGAGGAAAAGACACTGATGTTGGATAGGACATACACTGAGGGAAAAACCTGACAAAAAAATTACTAGACTGTCCTTGCACTGGAAACCACAAGGTCAAAGAAATAAAAGCAGGCTAAAAAATTAATGCAGAAGGGCACTAGAAAAGGAGGTTAAAAAGACTGAGAGGGCATGAGGAAAGCTAGTTAAGGGTCTAAGCCCCCTTGGAGGTAAAAGGGCAGACGAAGAAGAATCCATCCAGACTTTTCTAGCGTTATATGCCAAAACCAGTTTTGAGTCCTGGTCAAAGTTGATTTCAGAAAGTACTGCATCTTAAAATTGCTATTATACGCATTATGGTTAATGATTCCAGATACTGTATGCCAGCTAAAAAGTAAAACTTCATAAACTTTATCTATAACAACTGACACAATATGAATCACATTATTAAAAAACAATATGATGGCACTATTTTGGTACATTCTGCAGAGAAGCCAACAGACTATCACTAAACAGGCACAAAAATGGGAAACAAACTAGTCTAGGGAACAAGGATGTTGAAGAGAAACACTAAGACAAACACTGCTGACAGAAGCCAAAGGTCTAGGACTCAATTATATTCTTCTAAAATATGGTTCAGAACAGAAGGAAATGGAGGACCAGACTGGAGCCCAGTATGATTCATAACAGCCTGATGGTATGATGATGATGATAGGAAACATGTATGATTCTTTATCAGTCAGGTCCTTTACAGCATGTCGCTTTCTTTCTGTCTTGCTTGAAATTTTCTCTTTCTCTGGCCAATTCTCCAGCCCTATGTGCTTTCACAGCCATTTCATCTTCAATGTCTTATGTCCCCATTTTCAGCGTCTGCCTGATTTCTCGGAAACTGCACACTCCATCACCTTCTCTCCAGGCCACTTTCTACTTCTCCAAATTCAGAAAAGATAAAAATTATCTTCTTCGCTGTAGATTCTGACGGTCACCATTAATTTTTCCAAGCCATGTACACATTGAAAAGGACAACATGGATAATTACAATAATAAAAATAAGCAGCAAAGGTTGAGGGTCTATGCACAAACTTTACCTAAACAAAAAACCAAAAAACAACAAATAAATATTTAACAAATCATGGATGATAATAAATAAAATTTATCAAAAGTACAACTCCACAAATCTACCTCAAAATCAGAATCATTGAATTCATACATGATGTTCCAACCAAGCATTTTGAACTTCTTCCGCTCCAGCAATATAGTGTGGAAGAAGCAGAGAGCAAACAGCAACTTTTTGTACTTCTCTAACTTATGGCACCTCTGGAACTGTTGCTCTGTGATTAGACTGTACAGCCGCTTCATGCCTGCCTTCAGACCCTGCAGAATGTCACATAATATTAGCTACATGTTTGCCCACTCCTTTATCATCATAATCTTCATCACTGTTCTTCAATCATAGGTGATCTTGTTTCTCCATCTCACACAATCACCAGAATCATGTACCAGGTCACTGCCTAGCTCAATGATTATGCACAAATATATGGCTGCATAATCATTACGTGCTATGTCAAAAAGTCATAGCTGTGTCACGTCTCCAACCAAAGACAGTCATAGCGGTGTCACGTCTCCAACCATAGACAGTCATAGCGGTGTCACATCTCCAACTATAGACAGTCATAGCTGTGTTATGTCTCCAACCATAGGCAGTCATAGGGATGTCACGTCTCCAACCATAGGCAGTCATAGCTGTGTCACTTCTCCAACCACAGACAGTCATAGCTGTGTCACGTCTCCAACCATAGACAGTCATAGCTGTGTCATGTTTCCAACCATAGGCAGTCATAGATGTGTCACGTCTCCAACCACAGACAGTCATAGCTGTGTCACGTCTCCAACCATAGACAGTCATAGCTGTGTCATGTTTCTAACCATAGGCAGTCATAGATGTGTCACGTCTCCAACCATAGGCAGTCATAGCTGTGTGACCTCTCCAACCATAGACAGCCATAGGGATGTCACGTCTCCAACCATAGACAGTCATAGCTGTGTCATGTTTTCAAACATAGGCAGTCATAGGGATGTCACGTCTCCAACCATAGACAGTCATAGGGATGTCATGTCTCCAACCATAGGCAGTCATAGCGGTGTCACATCTCCAACCATAGACAGTCATAGCTGTGTCACATCTCCAACCATAGACAGTCATAGCTGTGTCACGTCTCCAACCATAGGCAGTCATAGCTGTGTCATGTCTCCAACCATAGGCAGTCATAGCTGTGTCATGTCTCCAACCATAGGCAGTCATAGCTGTGTCGCGTCTCCAACCATAGGTAATCATAGCTGTGTTATGTCTCTAGCCATGGGCGGTCGTAGATCTGTGTCATGTCACCAACCATATGTAGTCATAGTTCTGTGTCATGTCACCAACCATATGTAGTCATAGTTCTGTGTCATGTCACTAACCATATGTAGTCATAGTTCTGTGTCATGTCACTAACTATATGTAGTCATAGATTAGTGTCATGTCACCAACCATATGTAGTCATAGTTCTGTGTCATGTCACCAACCATATGTAGTCATAGTTCTGTGTCATGCCACCAACCATTGACAGTCATGGTTTTGCCACCATATGTAGACATACCATGGACATGTCATGATTATGTGTCATAGTTCTGTGTCATGGACAGTCATATGTAGTTTAGTTCTGTGTCATGCCACAAACCATGGACAGTCATGATTTTGTACCATGATGACAACCATGGACAGTCATGATTTTGTGCCATGATGACAACCATGGACAGTCATGATTTTGTGCCATGTTGACAACCATGAACAGTCATGGTTTTGTGCCATGTTGACAACCATGGACAATCATGGTTTTGTGCCATGTTGATAACCATGGACAGTAATGGTTTTGTGCCATGCTCACCAACCATATGGAGTCATGGTTTTGTTGTGCCACCATGCTACGTAGTCACCATGGTCATGTCACCAACCAATGTAGTTTTTGTGCCTGTGTCATGATAACCATGGACAGTCATGGTTTTGTGCCATGTTGACAACCATGGACAGTCAAGGTTTTGTGCCATGTTGATAAACATTGTTGATTATGGCTTGCAACTCACAGGATCATCTGAGTCTCAGTTACCGTATGTGACCAAGCCATTCAGGCATTTATATCACAAACTCAAGCAGCTCAAAATGAATCAACAGACTAGGAAAAGACACTGGTGTTGGATAGGACAGATGGTGAGAAAATATTATTGCAGTATAATTAGAATGTTTTTTTTTGCACTGGAACCCATAGGAGCATAGAATTAAAGACAGACTTGAATAAAACAAAAATATGGAAAAGAAAACAAGAGAACAAAGTTAAAATTATGGGAAATACTAGGCAGCATTGTGACATACTCTTTGTAGGAGGCTAAAAGATCTTCCTCTGAGTGAGTCAGAGGGACAGAGACAGACAGACAAAAAGACACAAACTCAGAGAGAAAGACATACACACACTCAGAGAAAAGAAGACATAATCACTGTGGGTGCTTTATTAATATCCTACCCAAACCAGGGAAAATCCCCAGGTCACGGGACAGTTTAATATTTCAGGGGGTGGTAGATAGGCTGCATGCAGTCATGGGACCTAGGCTGCACTCTCTCGTAGGACGTAGATGGATTGGAGTTAGGGCCATTTCTATATATTTTGGTGTCGTTAAAAGCATCAGAAAGCTGGGGAAACCCAGTCTTACCACCTGCTAAAGTGTTGGACTATCTTGTGACTTTCTGGGGTAGGATATTAATAAAGCACCCCACTGTGAAAATCAGTGACAAAGCTTTGACAAGGACCCACCTGATTTGGGAAGGGGAGGGGGAGACATGCAGTGAGCTGCATGTTATGGCAAAGGATAAAAGGATAAGATAATAAGATAGTTTGTTGTGAGTTGGTTGAGGGCCTATGTTTCACTGGGGGATGAAGGGCAGCAGAAGAAAGAAGAAAAGTGGTTTAATGACTGCTACTCACCTTAGGATGTTCTGTAGTCATTTTAACCCCTGCCTGCAGGACAGAGATCGGGAAATCTGGGTGGGGCAGGGAAGACAGCCACAAACGGAAGTTGGGGTGACACTGTTCCACCTGCAGCTGGTCGACTAACTGGCTCAAAGATGGCATCCAGCTCATTGACAGGTGACAGTTGGCCAGGAACACCCACCTGCCCTGAGGAGGAGAAGCAAACACAGATAATGGTGCATCTTCTTTTTTTCTTTGGTTCTGTTTGCCTTTGAGCATCAGCTTTTGGAGAGCATCAGGCGCAAATCTTTGGTACACACAGAATGCTCATCACAGTTTCTTGTGGAGAGATTGAAAGACTGCTGTATCAACATATGCACTAGCATACACATACATTAAAATCAGGAACAGAGTTCGTGCACTGAGCTGAGATTCTTCAGACTCAGGTTTGAGTCAGAAGTAGAACTGAGCACTTATGGGTTACTACCTTTGTGCCATGATGTTGATCCATTGTATAAAACCATAAACTGCAACTAATCACAAGTGCTTATAAAATACCTTAGTGACAACTGCAACTAATCACACCTGCTACTGAGTTAAGTTGAGTTGATTCAAGAACTGACATTACAGCACTTGGGGCATTCCCATAAGTGCTCCGTTCCCATCTTCAGCAGCCAGTGCAGAGTTGCAATACCAATGGTGCCAGCAGCGGTTTTATTATACGCCAGTCTTGCCTTTCCTCTGTACGTCGAGTATCGACCAGATCCCCTTGTCACTCCCGACTGCATCACCCTCACTGAATACTCAGAAAATACCTCAATGAATATCCTCAAAAGGTACTGTCTGCATAGAACATTGTGCAGCAACTCACCTTAATCTCTACTGTCTGTATAGGAAATTCCAGAGGGACCACAGCAACACCTCAAAAAGTATTGTCTGCATAGAACATAGCCAAGTGACCACGGGAACATCTAAAAAAAAAAAAGTTTTGTCTGCATACAAACATACCTCAGTGACTGCAGTCTGGAGCAGTCTTGTTGCAACTGAAGCCTGACCTTGACCAAGTGACAAAGTATTAAACTGGGCAGCCATGCCACAGCTCTCTGCAATCTGCTGCAGACTGGCTCTTGGATCCTGGAGAAGCAGAACATTTGTGAGTACAATTATGTTCCTTTGACAACATGTCTGTATATTTGGCAACACTATTACACTATCAAGATTGAAAACTGGATTAACAAACTAACATTTGATGCAGTTAAGCAAACCAAGAATTGGGACAGCTAGTTCCCATCTTAAAGCATAAGGCAGTCCCAGTAAGCACAAAGAAACATCTCAAACACCCCTGCCCTATGCTGCTAGTGCCAATCATGGTCACTCACAACCATGGAAATGAGATGTCTGGGAAAGGCTGCAGAAGTGACTAGAAGAGATAAAATGCAATCATATGAGTCAATTTTGGCACAAAACCAACACTAAATTATATACAAAAAAGCAAACAGAATGTACTGCAATGCCATACCATACAAGGCATACACCAATAAATGAAAAGGACATAGAGCCCAAGGTAAACCAAGAACAAGATGGAATCATTACACAAGAGAAACCATATTAGTACAATGTGTCCATAACTGAGGTGGCCAGAACAGCATTTAGTGGAGCATTATATCTTCCTTGATGACTGAAGCGGTCAAAGAGACATTGAAGACGATGCACCTATCAAGTGTTCTGCATTGGTTTTAGTCACAAATCTATACTCATGTTGGTGATTTTTCAAAACTGTAAAGTCATGTGGAATAAAAATTACATACAATATTATAAATGTTTGGGCTCAGGTACAAAGTAAAGGTAAATGAGGTGGCCAGAGTAGAGTAAAGGCAGATTTTACTTTTGGGGAATTCCCCATGTGGGTTTCAGGTTCTCATTGTGGGGAAAACAGAACAGACCCCCTGCCTCCTAACAGGGGCCTCTTAAAAGTCGAACTAATTAGGGATGTTTCCTTTCAAACTGGAGTGCATTTGCATGGGAGGCAAGGAACCAATAATCTGCATACAAATAAGCCAAATCTGTAATACGGATGTGCATGAAAAACTCAAGCTATGAAACAAGACTAAAGTCCAGAAGTGGACGAACATGCAGAACTTTCTGCTGGAGTTTACAGCCAATGAACGCTAAGAAAAGAAGAGAGCTGTTGGTGAATGATTTGTAAAACTCATGGCTGGAGGCAATTTTCACACAAGATATGGTACAGGAAGTAGTTCTGTGTGGTTTTAATGTCTAGAGGATTTGTTGTATCCAAGATGTGAACAAGCAATTTCTGAGCAAATATAGGGAGGCTTTGTTGTATCTAAGATGTGAAGTTGGACAATTAATATCTATGCAAATGTCGGGAGGCTTTGTTGTATCTAAGATGTGAATTTAGACATGCAATACCTGTTCCAATGTAGAGAGGCTTTGTTGTATCTAAGATGTGAAGTTGGACAATTAATATCTATGCAAATGTCAGGAGGCTTTGTTGTATCTAAGACGCGAATTCAGAAATGCAATATCTGTGTCAATGTAGAGCTCTTCTAAGATGTGAAGTAGGACTAACAAAATCAATATCGGTGCCAAGGTAGAGGGAGTTTGTTGTATCTAAGACATAAAGTTGGACAATTAGTATTTATACAAATGTCAGGAGGTTTTGATGTATCTAAGATGTGAAGTTGGACAAGTAATATCTGTAGGGAGGCTTTATTGTATCTAAGATGTGAAGTTGCACTAGCAATACCTGTGCAAATTCAGCAGACAGATGATGCAAAGACAATGATATTGTCTGATACAGAATCTCAAAAGTGGTTCCTAAAAGTCAGTAAAGGACATGAAGGGGATGGAGAGAAAATTCTGATAAAAATGTGGCATTTGAATGATGTGATGCTAACAAACTACTAACAGAGAAGGAGACTGTATAGAAGATGAAAGGAATAGAGAGGATATTCAGATGAAAATGTGGGAGATAAATGATGTGGGGTTAGCAAACAAATAACAGAGATGGAGACCGCAAGAGAGACGAAAGGAATAGAGAGGAAATTAGGATGAAAATGTGGGAGATGAATGATGTGATGTTAACAAAAGATTAAGAGTGGATGTGAGGGAAAGCTTGTGAGGAAGAGAAGCCAGAGATGGTGGGAAAAGACGAGACATGGACTGTGATGCAACAATTGAAATGAACAACACAGTTAAGTTAAAACTCAGGTAAAGTCAAGAGGATCAGCTTCACCGCACTGGGGAGTCCTCCCATTCATGTTTGATTTCTCTCAGCAAAACGGTTAGCAACCTACTGACAGCATCACACAAAATGAACTCTGTAACTTTAGTAGCAATCCCTAGGGATCTCTGCAAAAATTGCATTTGTGAAATGGATGATATGACTGTGAAGCAAACTCATGACCTCCAGAGTCTTAGGCAAACAGATTTGCCTGCCCCTCCACAACAAAGTCACACAAGGATTTAGTGACCAACAGAGAATAAGACCACACAATATGACCACACAATATGGAACAGTTGGCAAAAAAAAAAAAAGGTGGTAACATAAATAAATGACAGTGGGGATTAACTGCAGTAATGATGTGGAAATCTTAACTACAATAAGAGAAGTATGAAGTGTAGAAGGCATGCCTTATAAAAATACAACCACAATTTTGTTTGCAGTGGCAAGACAATAAGAATAAGACAATCCCCATCAGCAAAAGAAACATCTTATACAAAGCACATTAATTCCCACTCTATGCCACAAGTGTCAGACATGGTTTCTCACAACAAACCCTCAAAAAAAATTAGTAACCATAGGAAATAAGATGTGTGAGAATATGTCTGCAGAAGTGAGCAGAAGAGATAAAATCAGATAGGCCATAAAAGAACAAACTGGCATAGAACCAATTCTAAATTATATACAAAGTCAGCCAATCAAATGTTTTACCCACTTAGAGAGAATGCCTTTGACGTCTAACCATACAAGGCATACACCAAAAGAGTAGAAGGACACAGAGCAAAGGCAGACCAAGTACAAGATGGAAAGATAACATCAGAGAAATGCTACAACAGTGAGATGTGTCTATGGTCGAGGTGGTCAGAAGAGGAAGAAGCAGAAACATTTATCTCCCCCAACATCCAAAGCAGTAAAAGAGGAAATGAAGAAAAAGTAGAAGCATGGGAAGTGCTTCAGACAAGCTCAATTTCATTTGCAATGGGAGTATCTTCAAATCGACAGTCACAACTTCACTTGCAAAGTAAAGAACTTCACAGATATAATCAATCACATCTTCATTTGCAATGGGAAGAACATACACAACCCTCAACTTCATCTGCGACAAACAAAAAAGTAGTGTATGGGTGACGTATCGAACTTACGGATCCAGGTGAGACAATAAAGATGAGCGGTGTCCGAGTAGAGGATTCATCAACGATGGACATCATATCCAGAATGGGAGGCTCTGTAAACTTCTGGCCCATATTATTGATAATGAAAGCGGTGGCGCAGAAGGAGACACGATCCGGGCGTAGCGATCTCACAACTAGCATCCGCTGAAGCTCATTGCAAGCTTTATCCCATTCACCTGTCAGATGTTTTCCAAACAGACAAAATAAAACATCTGCAGCATTACAACTTCCCAATGTGTATCCTCAGGAAAACAGAGAAGGGCTGGGTCGAAGATAAGGGCTGGTGACTCACATTCACAAAGTTCAGTTTCATATTCGTGCCAGGCCATGCAGGTGTCATTCATTCATTCAGTAGCATGTCCCTCGCGGAACCTCGCTGCCATAACAACCCTCCGGAAAACCTTCCTATCATGAGCAAGATGTCCTGCGTCTGATACACCCATCTGGAGATCATCTGCCACATCCTGCACCCATCTTCTCCTTGGCCTTCCTCTTCCTCTCTTCCCAGGCATATACCCCTCCATTATTGTTCTCTCTAGACTTCCGTGACGTTTCAAGTGACCAAAATATTTCAATTTTCTTTGTTTTATTGTCTTTACTAGCCAACCCTCTTCAATATTCAGCTCTTGAAGTATGGATGCATTTGTCCTTTTCTTTACCCAAGATATTCTTAGAACCTGTCTGTAACATTTATATTCAAATGCATTTATGCGCTGTTCCGCTTGTTTAGTAAGTGTCCAGGTCTCACAGGCATATGTTGCAATGGGAAAGATGCATGCTCTTAAAAATCTGACCTTTGTAATTCTATCTGTACAATTCCATAATTTATTCAGTTGTTTTAGTCTTTGAAGAGCAATTGATAGTCGTCGTTTAATTTCTTTCATTGTGTCACCATTGTTGGTAACCAGTGACCCAAGATATTCGAAATTTTCCACCACTTCCAATCTTTCCTTATTAACATATATTTCCTTCTCCATGGCAGTTTTGTTTGTATGCATTATCTTTGTTTTTGCTATGTTAAGAAATAAGTTATGATTTTCACTATTTCTTTGGAGTGAGGTTAATAAGTTTTCTAAACCACTTTGTGATGTTGATAGTATTACTGTATCATCAGCATAACGAATTTCTGGTATTTCATGACCACCGATGTTTAGGGCATCATATTGTTCCTTGTTTATATCATCTCTTACATTTCTCATTATATTTTCGGCGTACAGATTGAACAAATACGGTGACAGCACACATCCCTGACGGACTCCTTGCTTGATGCCAAACCAGTCTGATGTCTCTCCATCTATTCTGACTGCTGCTTGCTGATCTTGATAGAGCATTTTAATGAGCTGCACTATATGTGATGGAAAGCCCATATTCCTCATGATTTCCCAAAGCTTCTGATGTTGTACACAGTCAAATGCTTTTGAATAATCTACAAAACATAAGAACAGATTTACATTAAATTCTCTACACTTCTCTATTATTAAACGCATGTTGAATATATGATCTCTTGTTCCTCTTCCCTGTCTAAATCCAGCCTGAGCTACATTAATCTCTTCTTCCATTTTCTTATGCAGTCTTCTCATTATAATTTTTAGTAGAATTTTGCTTGCATGACTGATCAGGGCAATAGTTCGATAGTTTGTACATAATTTCAGGTCACCCTTTTTTGGTATTGGAATGAAGATAGTTCTCTTCCAGTCTTTTGGCCAAATACCATATTTCCATATCTTTTCACATAATGCATGATAGATTTTTATGCTTTCTTCTCCTCCCGCTTTAATCAATTCAGCTGGTATCTCATCACATCCAGGTGATTTACCATTTTTCAGGCTCCTTATTGCCCATGAAATTTCATCTAATGAAGGTTCAGGTTCTGCCTCTACTGTTACTGGTTCATGTATTTCTTTCATATCCTCACTGTCATTCATATCATACATTCCGCTGCAGTATTCCTGCCATCTTCCTAGAATTTGTCTAGATTCTGTTAAAGTATTTCCCAACTTGTCACAAATAACATTTAACTGAGGTTGAAAATTTCTTGTCAATAACTTCATTTCCTGGAACATTTCGTAATCTCTTCCATTTTTATGATGCTGCTCTATTTTAATACAGCAATCTTGTACATACTGATTTTTATCCTTTCTTGTGTACTTTCTTATTTCTCGTGTTAAAAATTTATACTTCATCCTACTGTCATTGGTTTCTCCTTCCTTTTTCAGTTCCCTTCGTTGTTTTATTAGTTCTAACGTGTATGGTGTGATCCATGGTTTATGTTGCTTAGTCCTGGTGGGTATTAAGTCTTTAGCTGCTGTTATCAAGATATCCCTAGCGTGTACCGCCAGTTCATCAGGTGTCATTTCCTCTTGTACAGACATCAAGACCTCAAAACGGTTCTTCACTTCTACGTTGTATGCATCTGGTATTTTTGTGAGATTAAATCGAAATGGCCTTGGTCCTCGGGTAAGCTTTTTGAGTGGTGTACAAAAACAAAATGAGTAAGCTAGTTGGCTTGCAGGTAAGGCGACTGTGGAGGGTGGATGAGCTATGGACCAGACTGATATGCTGAAAGCTTTACAAGAAGTAAGACGTTTGTGAGAACCAGGTGATTAGTGATTAGAAAGGATTATCATCACATCACTCCGGACAGATCCATAGGTGCTCCTCCTCAAAAGCTCCACAAGTGTAAAACGACTGATGACACATGTTCTGTGTTGGTTAATGAAACATCTTGTCTTGCCTTAGTGAAATGTTTATTTCTTGCAGCTCCAGGCTGCACCCCCCTGTCCATCAGTCTAGACAGGGATATGTAGTCATGTCCTTTGGGAGTCAGACTACAAGAATAGTTAGTCAAACAAGACTACCAACGCCACACTGCATAGTCTTTGAAAAATCATCTGTGCCAGAAATGACTGAAAGTTCACGAGACAGAAGGTTGTGGACAGACATCACAACCAACAACACATGGCATGGACAATAAGAAGAAGTACATTCATACACACACATCTCTTCTAAATTTAAATACTTTCCACTCTTGCTGTTTTGTTTTTACAGCACAGTGTCTAGCCAGCTCACGTGATGATGCTGTGGTTAAGTTTTTAGATCCCTCCAAAGCAGGGATTTTTACAAGTTAACCTTGGCTTCCATGTTGGCCTAGCCTTAAATGGTCACCAGGAAATGTTCTCAGAGGTATAGGCAGCTGGCATGATACTGATTACATGGCTCAGTGAGTAAATTAAAGTCAAGGACCCTTTTCCACACCTTCAGGCGTATTGGGCCCATAGTGCTAGACCTATAATTTACAGGCCAATCGGCACTGTCCGAGTGATTTGGTCAATATCACGCTGGCCGCATTTATTTCCCTGGACTTTACATGACACCCATTTAAGGCTGGATCGACTTGAAGGTCATTTAAAAAAAAAAAAAAAAAGAGTCAAGATCCCTTCGGATTTGAACCCACAACCTTTGAATCTGCAGCCATAACACTGCAGCTCAAGACTCATAAAGTGTGGGTTTGTTCAAAACACATGAGGCTAGTAACACATATTCCAAATGCCTTGTGGAGGAAAAACCCTTTATTTTATTTAAAAAATCAATCTATATCCTCTTGATATCACTGCTGTCACATAACGGCATTCACAGGTGATCTCCACCGCTACCAGTCTGCTGCTTTTCTGCCGAAGGTATCCCATTTAGTTTTACATTCTTTCTTTTGTATTTCTCCTGCCCCTCTTCTGGTTTCCTTAGGTCGTCCATGCTCCTTTTTTCAGTCTACCATCCTTCAGAGATCTGTCATTGC